CGCATGCAGTTCTGAGATTCAATTGAGGTTCACCTCTCTTCATTGAGGTTGGGGATAAATATCACGTTCCGGCCCTCAGGTATATGAGGAACCTCTATGAGTCTACTTTTAAAAGGGAAGGGACTACAGACAATCGTGGTCCACGATATCTAATTTTAAGGTAATCTTACAGAATATCATTCTTTATCAATGTAGATATTTATATATGTATGTATAATATATGTATATATATATTTATATGCAACGAACATCGTCTTAGAATGAGAAATGCAGGCAATGACGATTAACAACAATGAAAAATATTTCCAGCATCCAAAATATTCATCTGACTATTAAAATAATATTTGGTGACCTTCTTCGAGTGTGCTAAGAACGCTGCTGGAAACCACAAAGAAACACTTGCCCCTGAATGGAGCTTGAAAATACACACAGAGATATGTGGAGGAAGAATAAAGGCGATGTTAGGGCTTCTAATTCGTATCGAGGGCTACATAAATCCTTTGCATGATGGCTTCTTCTGCAAAAAACGATAGATTCGAAATTTTTAAAGCAATGTTTTATAACATTAATATTTGTGAGCAATAATAATGCAACACAATTTTTCGCGTCTAGTTAATAGATCACATACATCCTAGAGAGTTATTGATACCATTGTTTGTTCAGTATGTCCATACAGCAACCATAAAATGCAAAATATCTTTTAGAATAGTAGTTAATATCAACTCAAATAGTAGTTAATATCAACTCAAATAGTAGTTAATATCAACTCAAATAGTAGTTAATATCAACTCAACAAATTAAAACACTTTAAATGCATACACAAAAACGGGAGCGTTACTATTTAAATGACTTCCAGAAAATCCTTATATATTCCAAGTTTTTGCTAGTAACAAATTTAAAAGCATCTGCAGACATAATCAAAATTTGCCCTTTTTATATGAGAGTGAATCATGATGAAATAGAAATATGTGGCTGAGAAATGTTTGCTTGAGTTTGGCAGTGAAGGCATCTCCTATAAGTACAAGTTTTATGTAAAAAGTACCTAAAACTAAAGTTAGCAATTTGCGATTTATCTTTACACATACAGAGACAAGCAATTTCGTCTCAGCAATATCAGTTGCACATGCATATGATACTTGTAGAAAATAAGTATTGCAAAGAAAGAGCTTTAGACAAAGGTCTATATCGTCTTGTCAAAGAATCTGAAGTGGAAAGTTTTGCCCTGATTAATAAAAAAAAGAGGACTCATCTTCGCATGCAAGTTGGCTAGAAGTTTCCAGCATCATATAATATATAAATAAAATAGCTATATAATACAATGCTTTTCAAATGTAAAAATCACATACTGAAAATTGAAGCTATGGATTATACTGAAAGATGTAGCTACCGAGTCTTATATTAAGTAAAACTATGCAGATGAATACTGAAGAGCAATGGTATTCGATAATTAGCCTTTAAAAATTTTAATTCCTGAAAGGAAAATGATTACGCTAGTTTCCAGATTTTCTGAAAAATCGGTGTTTGACTTAACAGACGAATCAGAAGATACCACCATTGCAAAGAATGTCTAATCCATGAAAATGAGAAAAGCATTTTCCCGGCATCTAATTTCTAAAAGAAAAACAAAACAACTATGTGCCTAACTTTAGGTATGGTTGGGTACTGGGAGTGTTCTCACAATCCTATTATTTACCACTTTTATTACCTACAACTGCTTTGAAATGTTCTGTGTATGTTCTCCATTATTTCCAACAACATAAAAGAAGATCTTAATGATAAAATTTAATGTTAAAAGAACACTCCCATTTCCCGCGCATATTATTACAAACAGCAAGTTATTCACTCACACCGATGTAGGCCATCTGACATTTTAACAGCTAATGTTTTTCACAGCATCAGAGAATTAACTGATAACATATCTGTGTGGATTTAAAATTTAAATCATATGTTTCAATACCTAATTTTGTAATATTTGTTAAATTTACTTTCAATACTTACAAACTGGATGCATTGAAAGAAGTTCAAAAAGAAAAGTAGGTGTAATGAATCATGATCATTAGAAATTTTGGTTTGTTTCCACCAATACCAAAATTCTCAGAAAAAAAAATAATGAATCAGGTCCTTTAGAAAAGTTTATTAAACAACATAATTTTAATAATCCCCTATGATAATTTTGTAGTTAACACGTAGAATCTTGTAGTGATAATGAAATTTATGACGCCCTGCCAGTAACGTTTTTAACTGAGAGAAATCAGGAAATTAAACAAATATGCATCTTAAGCTGTAAATCTATATTGACAATTAATAAGTTAATATTTTAAGTATTTTCATTATGACCTGATATTTGTGTCACATGAATGAGGGACGTAAATCGATCTTTAGAGAGTTTTGGTATAAATAATATAAAAGTATCAAATTAATGTAATTTTTTATTGATATTATATATCATTAAAGTTGAACTGGTATTTACACCAAATTTTATTTCTTCGCCATTCTCTGATAAATTTATACACTCTTTATATGTACGTATAAATCTATATACTTCTTTTTTATAGTAAAAAATTTCTATTTCATATAAACGTGAGCGAAAAATATACATGAACCGAATTGAAAAATTATTATTTTTTGTAATGAAGCGGTGGAAGAAAAAGAAACACTCCGTCACCTCCGTAGCTTCTAAACGAAGCAGTACAACAGCCATGACAAGTATAAGCGGGATACTTGCTTCGTAATAGTTTGCATAATTTACTTAGCACACATGTCGAAGCTTAGAGATGAGAAAACGTCTAATCACAAGTAACAAAACTAAAGATAGCATGTGACAGACAAGCTGAGTTATGCGGCCTATTTGGCAAAAATTTTCCGGCATTCTCTCACGAGGCACTTCATGCGCTATTTACACAGTACAAAATAAATAGGAGTATCTTTTTTAAAATATGGAGATAATTTTTCATAAATAATGATTTATTTATTAAGATATATTTCAAATTAAAAGATTCCTTTTTACCTATTGTTTGACTCAAATTAATTACAACATCTTGAATATTACTGCTAATACCTTCAAATGCACTATTTACAATGCTTTTATACAGTAAAGTAATCAAGTCTTTTCGTTCTGATACGAAAAACGATAAAAACAGTTAAAAATGAACGGTAAGTTTTCTTAAGAGCCACTTTCGTAAAAAATGCTTCATGCATTTAAGGAAAAAAATTGTTTTAAGGTAATATATGTGATAATAATCGATAAAAGCATGACTGATGTTAAGATTTAAATAGTAAGTTATTTTTCCTTTGTGTTGTTTTTTTTCTTTCTAACCTATTAAAATAGAATAGCGTTTATACGTTCCCCGTCAAGAAAAAGAAGTAAACATTTAAATTTTGCTTTAAAAATTAACACTTTCTTATTTTGACGCAACCAGCATAACACAGCTTCTTTAATGTCTGAAAGCCCTTAGTGTTCCAACAATTTAATTACTGGTTCAATATTTTCAGAAACAAATAATTGCGCTCCAGAGGAAATTTTCTGTTAATTGCATAATTTCTCGATTTTCGAATTTTAACTGGCTACCGAGATCGCTAGATTAAATGGTCGCAAATTTTGTGTGTCTACAAATACCTAAAATGGATTTACTTCTCTAGGATTACTGCTACAAATAAATAACGAACGGTACAGCAGCTTCAAACTAATATTGAATGAAGGATTAAAGCTTTTAAACTGGAAAATTCTAACAAAAGTTGGGGACATTTTCCTACAAAACGATAGGTAACTCAAGGTGAAGCTAACTGCCACTCGCTAAACATTATTTTTAAAACAAAATGTAAACATAATTCCTAAATTTTGTCTTAAAAGGGGGAAAAATAAAGTTGAAAAAATTAGTCTTTTTACTTCCTTGTATGAAGTAAAAAAAAGTATTGTAATCGCGAAAAGTTTCAGGCTGCATATTTCAACGAAAATTTCCATTTTGACCGTTATCGAATGCAATTTAACGATGTTTTTGCGTGACATCTGTGCGTAAGGACAGAATAAACGATTCCTTTCCTCCAAAAAAGTTATAAAACTGCTTTAAAATGAATTCTAAAGAGAATTTTTCGTGGCGTCTGTACGTACGTATTTCGCATAACTCAAAAACGAGTAGCCTAAGAACGTTGAAATTTTGTATATAGGACTGCTATAACATGTAGATGTGCACCTCGTATTTTGGTTGCGATCGGCCGCACCAAATGTATATAAATATATAAATATATCCACTCTGTTACCCGGCTCAGTGATCTCCGTTTCTTTACTCTTATATGTTTGTAAATTGTGCATTTTTTGATTTAAAAATTATTGAATTATGTTTTTCGTATCTTGCGGTTAAGGTTTTTATGCCTTTAAGTAAATCTACAAGCAATATTTGTATAATTATCAACAATTCAAAAGAAGTTTAATTGCGATTAAGCTTAATTTTTAAATAATACGATGGACATGTTTGTTTACATTTGAAACAGCAGAATAATAGATTTGTTGCCAATCTAGAGAGACTAAGCTTGGCAACAACAAAGACAACACCTTCACTTAATATTGCGAATTAAATCATGCTTAATCATTTCTGGAATTTTCCGAGGAAATAAGTGTTTAAAATTTACTTCGTAATTTTAATATAGATATTTTTTTTTTTTTTTTTTGTTTGTTTTGTTTTGTATTTTTGCCTTGTCGCGAAGTGAGAGCTGAATTAATTGAATGAAAAATACTAAATCGTTTGTGAAAAACTGTTTCTTTTTTGTTGTTGTTGTTCTTTGCTTGATTTCTTTTATACATCAATTTAGATTTTTTATAGTAATTGAATAGAACATGTGCCAACGATTAGATAATTCTTTAAATGATATAAATTTTGTGCATTCTGAGTTACAATATGAACGAAATATAAGGCTGTTAAGTGAACCTAGCGACAGAGTGTTGCTATGGTAAACAAAGATAGTGAATGATAAAGAGTGCATTTATTGTATTGTGGTTTATGCGCTATCTACGAAGTAGATTTAATTAAATCCAATAAGTTTAAATGAAATGCTAGAAAAAATGCGTATAATTTAATATTCCGTACAAGGAAGTCATGTGGTGTACACATCAGATTTTTTAGATTTTTGACATAAACTATGCGCCAGCATAAAATAGCGTTCATAAACTGTGTTCCTACAGTTCTGGATAACTTCAAAATCCGAAAGGTACTGTAAAATAGTGAATTATCGATCGTTGCGTTTGAAATACTACTTAATAAATTTATAAAACTTACTGGTTTATCGCTGTAATTTAATGTCTGATTTGTCACAATTTATATCAAAGAAAATATATAATAGTACAAAACAGCTAACTCAATGTGTTGTGTGTGAGCAGGAAGAAAAACCATATAAATCTGCCAGAATCTATTCCAAATGATATTCCTTGAATGAGCATTAAAAGCTCGAAATAGAGACAGCAGTTGAAGTGTGCCTGCACAAATGCTAAATTCTAGTGAGTTGTAATGGATATGGTATTCGTTCAAATGGACTGCAAATTACTTGCTACTTCATTCATTTCAGACGGTTTCTTCAGGGAGTGTCAAACCAGAATTTTTCATCACAATAGGGTGACATTCTTTACTTCAAAAACCTTTCCTCGAATTCTAGAACAAGATGGAATCGATAAAGTTAACCATTTATGTTGTCCAACGCATGGCGTGAACTTAAACGTCGTTTATTTTTAGAATAAATCATTAAAGGGGCACCTTTGTAAGCTGAAATTCGGATGTGCAAGAAGCACAAACTCGTTGAATTGGTGTTTTGAACAAATAGAGAAAATGAATCAAATTTTACAATGGTATATGAATGATAAACTTTAAAACGTCGCAGGATTTTATAGATATTCCATAGCAGGCATACTTTCCATTACAGAGAACTTTTTTGTGTGTTTTTTGTTAAGTGGGTTTATTAGACTCGTGAAATTACATCCGATTACTCAAAAATTATGAAAATATACTTTAGAAACTTAATCATACTTAGGAGGATTATTGCTTAGACTTATACAAAAGATATTAAAATTAAACAATGCTTTTCATGTTCTAGTTAGAATAAAATTCATATTTGGTTAAATGCAAGCAAATGAAAAAGATTTATAACCAATAAAGATTTAAATCTATCGAGTATATCAGTAGCACTGGCATCGGTGGAGTGTCGACAGAGGAAAGGAACATGATCTCCAATCACATACGTTTAAGGAAAGGAGAATAGAAAAAATTGAATGTAGATTTTTCACATTGGAAGTGTAGGATGCAAACATTGACTGGCAAGCCACAGCTGGGGAAGCCTCTTTTTCTCGCTGCGCCCCAGGATAAAAGGCGCGGATGATTTTTTTTTCTGACTCTTCAAAGAGTTGGAATTTTCGGAAGGTTCGTGGAAAAGTGTGCGCGCTCGAAATGGGTTCCTGAGACGTAGTTGTTGCTGCTTCTGCTGTTCTTTGTTCCCGAGAGAATTTGGAGGCTTCCGAAGCTGCCCGCCGAGAGCATTCAGCGCTCAGGACAGTCATCCGAGAGACGTTTTAAGGTCCGTGGTATCCACAGATTTGTCTTCAGCTGGGGGCTGTTGTCGCATTTCTTCCTCTTCATCACGAATATCAGCCTATAAAAGAAGTTGCATTAAAAATAAGTCAAATAGTACTTCATAATTAACAATTTATAACACAATTCAAAATACAAATAAAAAGAATAAATTTTTTACGACTTATTACGAATCAATAATCACGACCACTTATACTATACTAGCTAAAAAATAGCAGAAACCCTAGTTTTCTAAGATGCCTTATTAACCGTTATTATTCTAAATGAATATGCAGATAAATGAAAGCATAAATTAAGTACATAACCCTAAGTGATATATATATTTATCTTATTATCTATCTATCTGTATATATATAAAGCTATTGATTAATTAATAATTAAGTCATTTGATTGAAGTTAATGATGCATGCTTTGGCAATCTGCTGTTTAAAAAATAACAATTTTTATTCAAAATAACATTTTCTTCCAGTTGTTGTTTTACAAAACAATTTCAAGTTCATGAATTTATTTAATGTCTTTCAACATATTTAATAAAACTTAAAATGTATTTTAAGAAGGGAAAGAAATAATTTCTCATCTTTACTGCACCTATGAAAATAAACGTTTACTGATTTTCAATAACACATAATTAATCATTGATACACATTTTTTATTGTTTATTTACATATCAAAGGACATTTGCTAAAATTTTTGCAATAAATTTATACATAATTTTCTGAGTTGTTCACATCTAACAAGAAAATTTCTTATGCTTTCATAACAACATAATAAAAGCAAGGGGAAAAAGAACAAATTATGGTCTAAGAGAAATTTATAAGGCATGTTACAGTGCTTATTAGATGATAGCTTAGGTTTTAATTTTTATCTGTAATATTTTGAAAATTTCTTGCGGGCTATGTGAGCGCATATGTCTGTATGCAAATGTTTTTGCATTTTAGTATCTATGGCATAGGTTTTGCATTTAAGCCAACGGGAAACGGGATGCTCACGACGTTTTATAAAGATCATAAGATATGATGCCTTATAAAAAATTATTGCACCCTTCTTGCATATTTTTGTGATGTAAGTGATCACCAAATTCAGCAAGTAATTTTAAAATCTGTAGTTTGAGTTCTTGTGACAGCACAGTTTCTACTGGACATTTCTCGTTTGCGAAAGCCTAATGGTGCTGAAGTGTTACCTGAACTAAAAATGTGGTGATGATAACTTATCTGTGGTGATGATAACTTATCATCACCTGTACTGGATCGGCTGGGGTCTTCCCATTGAACCATTAATGAGCGCGAATGCAAAGAATTATTGCATCTCCCTCTGTGCGCTGCAGTGATATCAATGATTAGAAGCCAAGCTAACTGTTGGAAAGATCCGTGGTTCAAATCCTGGAGACACCAAGTTTGCTTTTTCACATTTCTTGCTCAAGACATAATGGCACTACAGTTTCCTGAGAGGTAAACAGAAAGTATGCAAAAATTAAGCTGTCAATGAGTGACAATACAATTAAAAAGAAATCTAAGGGTATTTTATGGATAATCCTTCTTAAAGTGATCACTGCACTTTGTAACCAAATTAGGCATCCCTCAGTTTGCATGTGAAAATTTCAGATGGTACCAATGTTTATGTGAAGGATATTTTCCTTCTTTAACAAGGAAGTAAGTACCTGTTTAAAATTTATTTTAAATTATTTTGAAGTTAAAATTTGTCTTAATATAGTGTTTGCTGTACGACTGATTTATGAATGAATTACTTACACAGGGTTGAAACAAACAATCATCTACAGAGAGAAATTCAGTTTATTTACTTTTCTTGTGTCAGTAATTAAAATTGTTATGTATAAGTAGGTTGTAATTCATACTCAGATTACAGATAAAAATACTTTATGAATGAATTACTTGATGCTAATCTAACTATATCGGTATATGTTCTTTATGTTGTAAGGTATTTCTCCCACCTTCGTGGCTTAGTGGTCATCACACTGAGCCGGTATTTCAGAGGTCCGTGGTTCGATTCCCGGCGATGGCGTTGCTAATTTTTCATCTCTCCGGCCTCAAAATAAGCTAATGTCTCTACAGTGGTGCCCTAACTAAAAAGGGTTGTGGATGATGACTCTCCACATCTAGGATTTGGCGATTGGGGGTCCCCTAAGATCCCCAGTCGCCCTTTAAAAAGGGGAGTATGTAAGGTATTTCTTCCGCCTTCCTAGCGTGCCTTCGTGGTGTAGTGGTCAGCACACTGAGCCGGTATTTCAGAGGTCCGTGGTTCGATTCCCGGCGAAAGCGTTGCTAATTTTTCATCTCCCCGGCCTCAAAATAAGCTAATGTCTCTACAATGGTGCCCGAACTAAAAGGGTTGTGGATGATGACTCTCCACATCCAGGATTTGGCGATTTGGCGTTGCTAATTTTTCATCTCTCCGGCCTCAAAATAACCTAATGTCTCTACAGCGTAATGATGTAGACAAATATGGAAGTACGAATTATTTTGATAACACTTTTTCCTCTTATTTATTCATTTTTATTATAATTTTTCGACATTTTTAAATTTGGATTTTAGTTTGGAAGTTGTTAATTTTTTTTTTTTTTTACAGATAGGAATAATTCTTTGGTTTTAATAAAATTCAAAGCAATCGCAAGTTCTTCTGAATTCATTCAAAATCAAAAGCGAAGATAAACACGCCGAATTAAAACATACAATTAGGCAAAGCAACAACTTCAACTTCTCACCAAAAAAGTTGAAGTTGTTGTAATCTATGTTAAAGACAAAGTTGTTGCTTTGTTTCACATTCCAATTCAAAACACAGTGGGAAAAACTGAATCAATCCGCAGTTTTAATATAATTATATGTCCTTCAATCTTTTATTCGTAACCTGCAACTGAAACTGGTAGATATTAACAGATTGCAGTTCGCCGTTTCGAAATAAGCACATCTAGATGTACATGCCTACCGAGTGCATTACAGTATAAAGACTAGAATGGTTTTAAAATATTAATGAAAGTTTAAATTTCAGCAAAAGCAAAATTAAGTTTTATGAAGATTTTCGAATTGAATTTTCAATGATATATGGGAAATCAGAATATCAACAATAATTATTTGCCTGAAAATAGTAGCATGAGATAAAAAGGGGTAACCATATTTGAAAAACGGATAATGCCCTGATTAGAAATACAGAAAAGAAAGCAGTCTTTCAGTGTAATTATGGAGACAGTAAATACAAAAATGATTTCTTACTTCTGTCGCTGCATCTCTTTGTTCCTCCCAGCAACAATCTTGGGTGAGGCTGGTTCCATTTCTAGAGTCGGCAGTGCTGCAGTTGGAGCAAGTAGAATCCTCCTCCTCTCCTTTCCCGTGGTGGCTTTCCTATCGAAACGATACTAGCATTATGCCAACATAGAAAATACCGATAAGTAACAGATAACAAAAAGTTCCTCTTTAATTTTGCTTATTCTTAGAAGATTAAACCATTTTCAGACATGCGATAAATGGTACTTGGAGTTAATAATATCATATGTTCACTGAAATTGGTTCTATTAATTGTTGCTGCGGTACATTAGTGACTTCTAGAGTTCGTAGCAGATATGTGTGTGGTAAATGAACAGTACGCTTTAATGTATGAATAGTATACTCAGCAAGTTTTGATCTTATTTGATGCAGGCAAAAGCATAATAGGAGTTAAAGTGGGCGCCGTTTAATGTGATCATGTTTCTTGATGACTATTTTTAAAGCATTTACCGAATATTAACATTAAGCGATGACAAAAATATATTTTAAAATATCACTGGAATTAGCTAATTTAATACGAGTATAAATATAATCAGAAGCATAAAAATACTTACTTTAATAGAATTTTAATAAGGAAATAGTTAATTCTCTGAAAATGCGTGCGTTCATTTATGAACAGTACATGTCTCTAGAATTAAATTGGCCTTTGCTATATCCCTCAACTTAATACACTGGTTAACTCACAAAATCACAAAGGAAAAATCACAAAAATGACGATTGCTCAAAAAGTTACATATAGAATTTAATGAAACTGAAACATAGTATATAACAAACAGTGAGGTATAAAATTACCAGACAACTATGGTGTTAGAAAAATTAGTATACGTATAAAGTGAACAAATCAGATGTATCACTTTGGTACATGAAAATTACCTTCAACACGGAGTTTGATCTCCCTAAGAAGCAACACAGTACATGCAGCGATATGTGATGATATGAATTATAAATCTGTTAGTTCCATAGGAAGTGAGAGCCATTGCTCTTGCAGAGAAGTTGCAAGCGTGACAAGGATCTGAAGATGATTGACAGCAGCTATACGTCTTCCTAAAGCATCCCAAACATGCTTGATAAGGATGCAGGTCCAGTGATCGATCTGGATACTCCATGCACTGTATTATTTGCACTAAAGATAATCATCCACGATGTGAGTCCTGTGCGGTCTAGCGCTGTTGTCCTGTAGCAGAAATTTGCCCCAGCATTAGGGCGAACATAAGAATCGAGGATGTAATCTCTATAGGCCTGAGCATCACGGTTTCAAGTGGAAAGACATGAAGGTCTATGCATCCACCCAAAGATATATCCCCAAAATACAGACCCTGCAGGAAGGGAGAATCTGAGTTCACTCGGAGATGCGGTTCTATTCCTTCGAGTGTATAACAAAAATATTGGTCATCGGCGCTCGTCGTAGCGGTTGGATGCCGAATCTGTAGTTAGAAATTGTTACTAAAGTCTATGAACCACAGAAAGTCTCATATTTAGCCATGTGGTTAGTTTTGTCTAACTTTATCTCGCCTCTAGTCTCCCAACAGCTCTTCATCGCAGTTCTTCGGGCACGGGATGCCTGGAGGTTATTCTTATGAATTGGCTATCTCAGATTTTGTGTCTGAATATCACAGCGAAATTTACAGGATTTCTCCCAAACATGCAATTTTATGCTCCTCGCAGATGACGCATTCGATTGCAGCGCCACTAATTTGCATACTACAGTTGTACTCAATAACTCTTGTTTGATAATATATTCAAATTTTATACCGATTGGCATATGTTTGAACGAGGTATCTCTATTTTTGTGATTTTTCCTTAGTTTTTGGAAACCAACTTACGTATAGACATAGGGAAATACACAGATTTCATAATCTTCTTCACGACGCTTATTATATGATGTGCTTGGATTTGTTTCGGAAAGCGACAGGCAAACATTTTCTGTCACTGATGCAGCAAGTTGTGAATTTTCATTAATACACGCGTTAAATTCTTCATAGTTTCTGTTAGTTGGAGACGTTTCTAATATTTCAAGTTCTTTTATTTTAACGATTTTATGGCTTCCAAAAGTTATGCATGTAATGTAAATTCGAAAATTTTGAAAGCGTAGTTGAATTTGAGCTGCCGAAGTTTTTATTACTTTTGATTATATTCGGTTTCTGTGGCTGAAAGAAGAAGGATAGCAGACATTAAGCGTTGGTGCGCTGTCGGATAGATTGAAGCAAGGCAGTCAATTAAAAATTTCGCTCTTTTCTTTGGTGTTGATCTTTTGGTAATTTCTCGAATGTGGAACAGCTATAAAAAATCAAAACGTTTGGACTGCTTTCGGTCGACAACGGTTACCACTCCTTTCGAAGATTGTTATATTGCTATAGTAGCTAAGCGGAATCAAGGAGCAACCTTCACAACAGTTACATCAATAATTGCAGCGTTACTTACTAAGACAATATCTGTCAGTATTATGGATCGAAAGCTTCACATTAAGGAACACTCGAGTACCAAGTGTTTATGTTTATAATAGCCCAGTTCAGAGGCAAGATTAAAAGTGGTGTTGTTGACATCTCAATTGGATTGCATCACACTGGCGCCATGTCCAATTAACGGACGAATTTAGATTTTCTCTGGAATCAGATGATAACCATGTAAGGGTCTGGAGAGAATAGGCATACTGAATGAAGCTCAGAACATCATCGAACAGACCGCATTCGGAGGTGGAAGCATCATGGTGCGGGCAAGAATTTCAAAACAATGTCCCATTCAGCTAGACGGTTCTGTGACGGCTGTGCGGTATCGTTATGAAGTCCTGCACACCACTATGAGATTCTACGCTGCAGTTACTTCTGATTTCCTCCTTATGAAGGATAATGCACGTTTATATCGAGCCAACATTATTAATGATTACCTAGAGAGTGATGGCATTTCTCGTTGGGAGTCGCTGCTGTATACAGCCGAACTTAATGCGATTGAAAACATTCGACATGATTTTGGGCGTGTTGTCTTTGCACATTTATTTCCTTCAACCAGTCTAAAACAGCTGAAAACTACCCTATTAAACGAATGACTATCGCGTGCATCTGAAATGGTTAATCACTTCACTGAAAGCATGGGAAACCATTGTAAAGTTTGTGGGACGGTCTGGGGATGACTATATACCTTATTAATGTAATAAGTTTTGATGTTTGCTTTTAGCTTTAAACATCAGTTTGTTAATAAGCTAAACGTCATTAACAAACTGACGCCATCATATAATTGACAAATTTAAATATTGTTCTCACCTTTATATATAATGTTTGTTTTCTGTCATGCATAAACAGTTTTGCTACCTTTATGTGCAGTTTGGCACTTTTCATTTTTATTGATTTACCGTCGCGTGCTTAATTTTTGGAAGCTGGTGTATTCAGAAGTTAGCGCGCTGAAGATAGATTTTTAATTTCTTTTCTGAGGTATGATTCCAATTAAAAATCTATTCTACAATACTTTCGAAACATTAACCGATTTGTTGATCACAGTAAGCGATATTTTCCATTCAATGTTTTCCTATAGAAATGAGCGTGGATTCGGGAATTCGATTACACTATCCTAATGAATGACATTAAGCGCCGTCTACTGCATATTTTTATGGCAATGGCAGTTCATTTTTGTAACATTAGAGTCAATCTGCTACGTATATCCCTGGAAGTGTCTTCGAAGCTGAACTCTAGGTCGTAATGAAATGAATGTACTATATGATTAACGGGGAAGGAATATAATTAGAACAGAACAGAATGCTGTAATTGGAGGTTGTGTAGATTGATCCGTTTCTGTGCCGTGTCGATTACTATCATTTGTTTGAATCACGTTTGTTACAGTTTACAATAAATAATCAAAAGGCACTACGTGTGAAGTAAATTATTCAATACTTCGATAACGAAGACAATATAAACTCATGAGTTCCTTTGAAATTCGAATTCCTTCTTGTGACAATAGAATTCTTTATGCTGCCATGTTTTTCCCTAACATGTCGCAAAAATATGCAGCCTTCGTCGAAATATCGTGTATAACCTTCAGCATTATTCTTTGCGGTATTTTCTTAATGGCTTCAGAATGGAAACTAATACTGTGAAGCAAGTTTTTGACTTTCACAGAGCAGAGTACTCGAAGCGGAACTATAAAAGAATTAGTCGAATTTATATTGTGGTTGGAATGGACATAATACTGGGAGAAACTGCCCCATTATTCCTTGAAATATCTTAAAAACGTTTCTCTACAAATGGATTTATGTAAGTTTATATTTAATTCCGCTGAGATTCCGTGTCTATGTGCACTATTATCAGCAATTTCATTAGGAGTTACACGTACTTATGAAGACTTATTTCTACCGTTTGTAGCTATACGTAAGTGAAATTGATAACCACTAATATTATATCATAATTTAGCGAATATTGATATTATGTCATAATTTAGCGAAAGCATTCTCTCTACTTATTTTTTTTACGGATTTTAATCAGCTTTCAGAATTAGGGTATCAGAAGAAGGGAATCAACTCTGCTGGACATTCAAAGGAAATTAACTTAATTCTTCCAAATTTTAAACACTAAAACTTCTTTGAAATTGGATATAGTGGCTCTCATTAGCATGTCATCTGCCTAAAGTGCATTTTTTTATTAGAAGACAGATTCATTTACCAAACCCATAGGGTTTGGTTTATTAAGATTACGGTAAAGCACACTAGCACTATGTGCCTAGGGGAGGGATGTCTTCGTAGAGGACTTTCTAAGAAAAACTGGCTCGTTTACACCTCGTTACACATGGGGAAAACCACGAAAACGCCCATGCAGCCAACCAGTTTGCAGAAACCTCGGACCGAACTACCAGTGTTCAACGACTTTACCGCTTAGTCGCTGGTGGGCCCTCCAATGCATAGGGACAATCATTGGTATTGACACCTGTGTAATGCATATCGCTTTGCGGATAAAAAGCAGAAAGCACACAGATTTTTTTAAGACTTTTTTGGAGAGGCTATTTGAGGAAAAGTTTCACATTATGCATAATTTTCGTTTCAGAAATATGCTCATATGTTTGAGAGAAATGCTACATATTCTTTTCAATTTTATTTT